GTTTTGTATTGATTAAAAAAAGGGCTTAAAAATAAGATAACCTTCATAAATTTAATAGTTTCCTATAGAACTGGGTTTGGAAAAATTATACAATTTAAACACTGGTTAAAAATATCTGCTGTACAAAGGACCTTTCATTTGCAGTCACATTTTAAGTAATGCACTGAGTGCATATTAAGTAATGCACAAGTGACTTTTCAAGCATTTTGTTCCAGGGTCCAGCTTAGATACAAGAAATTGTGAACATCGATCATCTGCAATGTCCGCAACTTCAGAATCATATACCGGTACCACCAGCAGTACTGAAACTAGTTATGCCGCAGACAGTGAATTACTTGTTTCCAAAAAGAGATCTTCTTCATTATCAAGTAAAACGATGGATTAATTCATAATTAGAACCAGCAAAGTCCAGCAAGACAACATAAATGAAAAGATCACTCTATTCATTTATGCAACAAATTCTCCCTTTCATCTTGTTCACAACAAACACTTCACTGATATGGTTCAATCATTATGACCAGGTTACATTCCACCTAGCAGAACAGATATTGCTGAAGGCTTCTGGATACAGTGTATGACAGAGAAATTGAACAGTAGGAAAAAAACATCAAAGGAAAAAGTGTTCATCTGAGTCTTGATGGATACAGCAATGTACACAATGATCCAGTAATATGTGCTTGTGTGACAACAGAAGACATGATTGTTTTTTTCGCAGAAACAACAGATAGAACAGGAAAATGTCCATATTGCCAACTATTTAGAAGAAGTAACAGTAAAAGCTACATAACAAACCGTGACCAAAAATTCAAGCATTGTGTGCCTAGTCTTGTCACAAATGAAAAAAAAAGCTTAGAAGATAATGAAGCAAACCTAAAACTTATTAACATATGGGTGCAATGCTCATTTGATGAATTTTTTTGCCAAAGGTTTAAGTATTCCAGAAATAAAGGAAAACGTTAAAATTGCAAAGTACTTCCATAACAACCATCAGTTTACTTCAGCTTCACTGAACAGAGATGGGGGATCCAAGCTAATTCTCCCCCAGGATGTAAAATGGAATTCAGTGGTTGGCTGCTTTGAGCTATTAAGAACTGGTCTATTTTGATGACCATCTGTGAAAGCTGTGACAAAATTGATGGAAGTATCACAGCTAGCTCAGTCAACACTAGACTAAATAGAAATGTAGAAGATATGCTGAATACACTAAAGCATATTTCCATAGCCTTGGACAAATTACAGAAAGACTGCTAATGTATTGTGGATGCTGTTGAAATTTGGAAAGCACTTCAAGAAACACCTAACAGCAAGCTAAACTGCAGGCAGTAAAGAGGCAGATGGATCAAACACTTACTCCACTTCATTTTCTTGCCAGTATTTCTAACACAATGTAACAGGTAGATGCCTAGCTGCTGAAGAGGAAAACACTGCAAATGCTGCTATGACATGGGCATCTACTAATCACCCATCAATCATACCAACCATAATAAATTTCAGGGCTAGAGAAGAACCATTCAAGCAGTACATGTTTGCTGAGGAGGTTTTAAAGAAAAAGTCACATCACTGAACTGCTGAAAGTCACTAGTAAAGCACCAAGAACTAGAATCTGTTGTAGTGCTAAACTAGTTTTTTACCCACAGTAGCCTCTTCTGCAAGTGCAAACAAAATATTTTATTCATTTGGACTGGTTTACTCAGAGCTGAGAAATTGATTAGAAGTTGAAAAAGCAGAAAAGCTTGTTTTTATTTTCCAGTCTGTGAATAAAAAGGGGGAGAAAAATTATATTTATGAGTTCCAAACACTTGAAAGAAAGGGGGTAAACATTTTCAAAACAGCCTAGGTAAACAAAAATGAAAATGACTGTCTCATTATAAATGGAATTAGACAGGCAGGCACTTAACCTCAAATGACTTTCACCTAGGCATTTTAGAAAATTTTCCCCGTGATGACCTTGAAATAATTGGTTTAATTCACTAACCACAGTTCATACTTCTAATACTGTAACAGTTGATACTAGTGTTTAATAAATTAGTTAGCTGTAAATGTGCACGTTTTGATTTTTTTAAAAAGGTTTGATATCCAAAATATTATTTTAATAAATTTGAAGTGCTGCTTTTGAGCATTTAATTATATTCAAGTTGCCACTTTAATGTAGCTTGATACAAACATGAGCAAAAAGTTAGTGAATGAGAAATATATATTTTACCATTTTACAGCATACTAAAATGTAAGATTTCTAACAATCCAAATATGTTAAGCTATATATATGGCTGAACATACACATATACAGTTTTGTATCTGTCTATATATAGCTTGTGTATTCATATATATACATGGCTGAAGACCACAAAAGCACCCCATGGTTGCGGGGGCTGAAGGCTCCACACTCCAGTCATTGGAACCTGCTTCTTGCTGACGCAGGACTAGCCCAGGATCAGGCTCCCTCTACATCAACAATAAGACATGATTGGATCTAATGTGCAATCCCACAATTTCACCTCCTGCCATGCATGTGTGGTATCCAATCGCACCTTTACCTGCATGTGTAGAGTGGACCAAAGGAAGCAAATCAAGAAGAGAGAGTAAAATAAATATTTCTCTCTCTCTCTCTCTCTCTACTTGTAGCCAAGTGTTATACAAGATAAACGCTTGCTTGGTATATTTTTCTTTGATAGCAGGATAAAGAACTGTAATAGCTATTCTTAGAAATATTCCCTTTTAATGTTTTTTTCCATCTTAGAAGTTTCTCTTAAAGGTCTGTACAACACAAGCTGATGAAGCTAAGCCACTGAAGACTTTGACTAACATTTTTCTATTCACATCACTTTCTGTGGTTCCCTTACACACTTAAATGAGGTAAGGAAAGGGTATTCAGCTTTTATCTTAAGCTCCTTGGGCAAGTTTTTTATTTTTCAGTTTATCATCCAAAGTCTAGCATATGCATAGAAAAAAACCCAAAACAGGAACCTCAAGTATCTCTGTCCTTTTCTGCTACCACTAAAACTCTCTTGGCAAGTACTGTAAGAACTAATTAAATGGAAATTACTCTTTCATCAAGTCACTCTCCTAAATAAACCAACAAAGTAATTATTAATTAAAAATAGTAAAGCAGGGTTTGTTTTAGGACATGTGTCAAATGGGACAAGTATTCAGACCCACAGAAGTAGAGAAGCCCAGACTTCGAAGTCATGTCACCCTGGCATCTCTCCATGCACGCTGAATTATTTTGATTTTTCCTGAACATTCATGTACGGAAAATAATGAAATAGGCTTTTCAGAAAGAAAGTTACTTGTCTGAGACTGATGAGAAATTTTCTCTGTCATCTTCTACACACCTGCAAAACACTTGTTTCTTTTTTCATTTTCTTCATTCTCTCTTTCTGCTTCTCACAGCAGCCATTCTTTTGGACCTAGTTTACTTCTCTGCTGAGCTACATACAGTGAGTTCGTTTGGCAATCAGAAAATTGTCCACTATGCAGGTTGAGCAGTTAATCCTATTAGACCATAACAATTACAGTCCGTGCTTCACTATTTGCAGGCCTGAAAACAACTTAGTCCTGTTTATTTCAAGGTTGTTATTAGAGGCAATGTACTTTGAGTTAAGAAGCCTTAATGGTTTGTGACTAGGCTGTTCTCATATGAATTAGCAGGTACACTTACATTGGCCTAACATCAATTATCAGCGGGATCTGGCAAATGGCTAGCATTATTTGCACAATCTAAACACCCTTAGATGCCCTTATTGGTAGTATATGCAGTACTTCTCAACAATTGCCATAATGATTTGGATCCTGCCCACATGAGAAACCTGCACTAATTTTAATACCAGTAAATCAGGTCTCAACCAGAACACACTTATTTGGAGATGCATAATTTGGTTTATTTTAAACCAATTCCGAATCTGCTCTATATCAATTAAAATGAACTAAATTGTCAATGAAAATAAACAAACTAATATGGCCACATGAGGGTTTGTGCTATTTTAGCTAAACTGGATCAAAAAATATAAAATTGAATCAGTGCAAATGTTTTGCATAAGAAAGCTATTTATTTATCCAAATTCAGCTTCTTTCAACAAAAAACAGTCCGATGCATTTTGTCCCAAGTCCTTCTTGTCTCTCCCTATGCAGCTTTATAGGGCTGTAGCATAAATGTCTTAAGTCAAGTGCTGAAAGTAAAATAGCACTGCAATGGCCACAATTTGAATAAAGCAAAACTGAAGCTAGTGAAAAACTAAATACTTTCAAGCTAGGTTCATCAAATCTCTAAATACAGACTGCTTACATTACAATCTAGTTAATTTTCTGGCATTAACTCATCTATCGTTCCATGGTGCTCTACTAGTTTTAAAATGAAAATTAAGGTTCTTGTTTATATTTGTTTGCATTCTACATGTCTCTCATTATAACTATTTTAGGAAGTATTGAAAATCATATTTAAAAAGTGACCTGATTCTGATCCACGCATCTCCCAATTCCTTTGTGTACTGCTTTTCAAAATGATCCAGAACAACTTGGCATATCTGCTTTCGAGGCTTCCCTTTGGATTTATTTTCCAGCTTAAGAGGAGGGAGAGAAGGGGAAAAAAAGTGTGTCAGGAAAAACCATTAATCAAAGATCTTGGTAGATTGATACAAACTTTAAGAATTAATTTGTACATATTAACAGTGATGTTAGGATCCCCACTTGTCATTTTCTGGAGCACATTATGCATGTTTATGGGGCCAGCAATAGTTGTTTTAATGCTATCAATAAAATAAGAAGAATAAATATGCATTTACTCTTCTTCCACTGGTGAACAAGTCATCCAAACTGCATTCTTATGACACACCTTCCTCCCAGATGCCAGGCAAATAGAGTGGCTCCTTGGGCCCCAGAATACCGGAAGCAAAATAAGCAAAGCATGATTATGGAAATTATGTTTCCAGAAAACCATCACCCCTGGCAAGAGACATCCTATGGCCTAATGATGTACCTAGTAGATAGAAAATCATTTGTATTCTTGGATTTGGAACATAGCCATAAAGGGTTACAGTAGCAAATTCAATCTAAGAGTAAAGACAAGTTGAATTCATTCAATAGTTTTGTGTATTCACTTTTATCTAAAGGCAATTCCTAGTAATTTTTAGTATCTTCTTCTCTGAAAGAAAAACAGTGTCGCAACAGATATTTTAGCTTCTGTACCAGGTTAAGTTTTCAAAAGAGACCTTCAAAAGGAAAACGTTGATTGTGACCTTTTTTTTGGTTGTTTCTTAAAGGAAAAAAAAAAGAACACTGACCCTGTTCTTCCCACCTTCCTCCTCACATATACTTTGTAGGTCACCTTTCGGCAGTAAAACTGACAGGACCTTAGAATCATTATGAGCAAGTTTTGTAGATGCTGTTTTTAACAGAGAAGGCCAACAGGGGCTGCACAGGTGTCACTGAAAGCATAATAAGAAGTTATGAGGGCAACACAGGTATAGCTAATGGCATAATTAGGTCAGCAGTACTGAACACTGGTAATGGTACAAAAGGACAGAGCTTGACTTTCAGACTCCATCATTAAATTGGAAAGCATGCTACTTGTTTTCAAGCAACTGGATAACTATACTGTGGCTGAAAAAAAGCAGAGGGATTCCCTTGCTATAAAAAGCAACCTCAGAACACAGCATGGATTTGCAGGTCTTTCTAGCACGTAGGAACATTTCATAGATTTCATAGACATTAGGGCTGGAAGGGACCTCGGAAGATCATCGAGTCCAGCCCCCTGCCCAAGGGCAGGAAGTCAGCTGGGTTCATTGGATCCCAGCAAGATGAGCATCCAGTTTGCTCTTGAAGGTGTTCAATGTGGGTGCTTAAACCACCTCCGGTGGCAGGCTGTTCCAGACCTTGGGGGCTCAGACAGTAAAGAAATTCTTCCTTATGTCCAGCCTGAAACGGTCTTGTAGTAGTTTATGACCATTCGACCTAGTCGTCATCCCTTGGGGCGCTCTGGTGAACAAACGTTCCCCCAGATACTGGTGGTCACCCCTGATAAACTTATAGGTGGCCATCAGATCACCCCTGAGCCTGCGCTTTTCCAGGCTAAAGAGCCCCAGGGCTCTCAGCCTGTCATCGTAGGGTCTGCTTCCCTGACCTCTGATCATGCGCGTGGCTCTTCTCTGCACTCTCTCAAGCTTCTCCACATCC